ATATATATATATATTATTTAGTGTGCACAGAAGTGGTTTTTACCTGCTTCTAGCCAATATTCTGACAGTTCTGTAGATACCAAACATGTGTATGTCTAACTAAAAGAACTTAAAGTAATTAATGTAAAAAACTGGGGGTTTGAGCTTAAGAAATGAATGAACCAATCGGCGTGCGGCCCGCGGGCCGCCAGTTGAATAGCCCTGTCCTAAGTTTTCATCGGTCACATTCCACTGTGTAAAACGTCTGTTTTATCCCCTTTTATGAGTTTGTAATGGTTTGACTCTCTTTATGAAGTGATTGCTGGTACAGTCGGCTCATGAAGGGTTTTTTTATTTGTTTTTTATTTGTTTTTGTTTTTTGTTTTTTTTTTTTTTGAAGCGAGAAGCAAAATACAGCGTGTGAGCGCTTTCAGCAATTAAAACATTACCTCCTCCCCCTTGACGCACACACTCACACACTGTCTGGTCTAAAAACTAACTTAGCTTCCAAAATGCAGAAATCAATCTGTTCTCCTCCCGTCTCCAAACTTTGAGGCCCAGCCAGAAGCTCTCTGTTTACAAGCCTGGTACCGAGAAACTGTTTTGATTGGTTGTTTGGGAAATGTGGTGTGTTTGTGGAAATGGGAAAAATGGGTTTCTTGGTGCAGTGACGCACTTCCTGGTCACACAACGTTCTCTAATTGCGCACCAAATGCGTAAAAATGTGCACATTATGGCAAAAATTACTCATCATTAAATCTGTTTTTATTTGGAAATTAATAAAATTGCTGTTCAATCCAGTTCAAATGAACACTGAAAGCTGTCACTGTTTTTTTACTGAAGCCCTGTCAATGCATCACAGCTTTCGAGCTCAGAGGGTTAAAAGAAATAAAAAAAATCCTGTATCCGCATCGTGATCCGAAACCTCACCAAATTTACAGGTGTGTTACTTTGGCTAATCCCCACATGTGGTGAAAATGGCATGACAATCCGTCCAAAGGTTCTTGAGTAATTTGGTCCACAGACAGAACGACAGAATGACAGCCGGACAGACAGACATACACGACCGAAAACATTACCTCCTTGGCAGAGGTAAAAAGAGATGCAAGGTTTTTGTAGTACAGCACCAATAGACTTGTTAGTTTCTGCAACAAAGTACGAGGCCTAAGCATTGCTTTTGAAGTTCAGCAAGAGGTTTTCAAGTAATTAGGTGGTACAGAAGTGCGTGCATGTTCTTAGTCTATGTGTGCATGGTCCTGCTGCAATTTACCAAGAATTATAAATGAATAAATAATCAAGCTGAAAAGCAAATGGAGTTGGACAGTTGAGCGTGGGATCAAAACGGAACCTTCCATCACACCACCTATGTTTAGTTTGAGTCTGAAATTAGGTGTATGTGTGTACTTGCGATAGGGTGCAATGTTTTTTTTTGCATTCTTTATATTTTTATTTTTATTTACTTTACTTCTGGGTCATGCCAACACAGTTGCTATTCTTATGCAAATCATACAGACTTCTGGGTTGTTTAGGTTGCTTTGCGAGATCAAAAGAGATGCTATTATTATCCTTTGCTGATGGTTGTTTTTTTTTCCTTTGTGAGCATGAAGACAAAAAGTTGAAATGAAGGCAAAGGGCACAAGATGAGATGGCAAAGTGTTTCTCCTCAGAATGCATTATGAATGAGGTGCATCTGCAGTGTTCAATCAGCTGCTCTCTGATGGCTTGAAGGTGGTCCATGGGGGTTATTTAAAACTGTTTTGTGTGTGGGTGGGTGTGTGTCCTTGTGTGTGGCCATGAACAGGTGAGTTACTGGGGTCACAGGAAGTAAAGATAAGGTATTTTCTAATAACAGATAAGTGAACTTAGGTCAGTACAAAGAAGGGGTTTGGATGTCCAGTATAAAGAGTGTCTAAGTAAAGTATCATTCTCATCCTATCTAGGTAACTTGGAAATGTTTGTAAAATCTCACATGTGATGTGTGATTCAAATTTTAACTTGAAGAAACAAATCTGTTTTTTAAACTGAGGCCTTTACACAAAATGGAATTATTTTAATTTGTTTAATGGCTTTGAACAGGTGATCCATGATTTTATTACATCCCAACTAGATTACTGTGTTAGGCAGGTTGGCCTCTCATGACTGCAGTTAATTCTTAACATTAACAACAAAATGAACAAAAAAAAAGTATGAACTTATCTCCCTGGTTCTCACCTCCCTTCATTAGCTCCCTGTTTGTTTTAAAATTGATTTTAAATTTTTATTGATGACCTACAAGGCCCTGAACGGACAGGCCTCTCTATCTGTCTGACCTTCTACAACCTTATGTTTTCTCCAGGCCCCTTAGATCTAATGATCATTTACTTTTAATTGTCCAGATGTCCAGTCTGGTCCGTTGTTGTCATCAAGTCTTTTTAATTGTAGTTCTGATACAGTGGAACCAGCTGCCTCTTCAGGCTTCAGTTCTTGCTGTGTTTAAGTTTACTTGAAGAGACCTGCTAGAATGTATGGTTTGCAGATGATGACATGAACAAAAATAGAGGAGGAGGAGCTGGAGGTGGAGGAGATCAAGATGTTTAGATGTGTGCAGAGCAGGACTACAATGTACAGGAGGAGCTGTCAGAGAGGAAGAAAAGAGGATGACCACAGAGAAGGTTTAGAGTTGTTGTGAAGAGGGATGCTTGAACAGGGTGAGACCCCTAAAAAGCAGAAAGAAGAGGACGGCCGTGCCAAAATTGACATTTTTGAGCTTTATACCATGTTATGATATCATTCCCTCATCAAAAACATGCCCATTGTTGCTTTGACTCATTTATGTATTTTTGAAAATATCTTTGAATCCCCTGTGGTAGCCATGTGGAGCTGCCTGAACACTTCCTACAAACCAATGCCTTTTTGTACAAAGCTCCTCCCTGGAGCTCAGTCTGCAGCAGAGCCCCCACCCCACAGAGCCCCCATCCCCAAAGCACTGTTTGAAAATGTGCCGAAGTGGGAGTGTCCAAAACAGTAGGAGGTTCTTAAAGACACAAAGGCCATTTTCAAGGCGTTTAGACAGACTATAATGCACATTCAAATTTGTTTTTCATTTATACAGCATTTTCAAATTAACTGATGGTAACATAGTCACTTGATTGTGGTATAGAATTGAACTATGTGCCTAGAAAATACATAAGCCCAACCTCCACCTACATCCCTTTAAAGGACGTTCATGACAAATGAGCTTTTACCTCTGTCAAAGCTCGGTAATATACAGTACAACAAAGGCTTAACACTAAACTAACAAACAATGATTTGATTTGTTATTTATTAATGAACAACTGTGAAGTGTTTCAGCCCAAATCGAAGCCTTGTCATTTACTGTATACTCCTGCCATTAAATCGCTAAACTATTTTAGTAATATAATTTTAATTAATTCTGGCATCCTGGTTTTCTTTGTAAATTATAAATGAACCTCAATATTATATTGTGGGTGCCAGTTTTATTCTAAGGGGATTAAGACTGAGCAATGGTGCAGTGATTTATTTATTTATTTATTTATTTATTTTTTATTTTTTATTTATTTATTTTTCAGTCAGCGCTGTCCTGTTTATCTTCCTCACTATGTGCCACATAGCTGCTGGTTCTAAACTCAAAAGCTGACATAAAAACATGAAAGCAACTTGCAGCTGAACAATGTCACATGCTAATTTTGTGATCTATAGATTTATTGACAGGTAAATAATAGGGTAAAATTATTTAATGTCTATAATTTATTGTTATGTGGAAATCCTAGTTGGAGTTCCTACTGAACTAGGTCTAATACTTGTCTCAAAGACAGATGGCAGCATATTTCTGTTTTTTTTTTTTTCATCTCTTGTTTCCACTTTCATACACGGTTTCATCTTCTCACTTTGGTTATTCCACCTCGTGGCTCTTTTCAGAACCTTTCTATGAACCACTTCATTCTTAAGTTTCCAGCTTCAGTTTAACCTTTTTTCCATCTTACTGTCTTTCACTTCACCTCAAACATCAAACCGATGCTTTGACATTAGCTCAGGATGTTGCTTACTTTATAACTTTGAGCACTTTGCCAATATGGCTGCCAGTAATTGCCAACCAGCCCTATTTTTCCATGTCCTGATCCAGCTGATGAAGGTGTAGAAACACAACTGAAAATACTCCAAAAATGTTTCACATTTACTTCTCTCTTAGGTTCATAATAGGTGATATGCGGAGTCAAGTTTGTTAAACTAAAATGCAACTCATTAAAAATAAAAAAGTTGTATTTCAAATTAATAGCAAGATGCCACAGCTTTAAGCAGTTGTTTTTTTTTTAAATGGTCACTAAAACTAATTCAGAGCTCTGTATTTATTATTGTTTTACTTCCTACCGTCTTTTCGGTATAAGATGATCTCCACTTTCCTCTCCTCTGACCCCAGCAGGGCCTGAGCCATCTGGGCAATAGCCAGTCGCTTGGTGTCCGGACCGTACAGGAAGTTACACGTACAAGGCTTCTGCATGATCTCGGCCCGCGTGTAGCCACACATGTGGCAAAACCCATCGTTACAGAAGATGATGGCGCAGTTCTCCACTCTCGCATTGGCAATCAGGAACTTACGACCTGTAGACAGAGTGAGAAAAGTTTCTGCTTTAAGAATGGGGTCTTTGATAACACAACATCAGAAGAATAAGGTAATGTAAATAAATAAAAATAAAAAAGGCTACAAAATCAAATCAGTGTAAAAAATAAAAGGTGCCCATTTGGAGGATGGATGTGCAAATGTGTGTGCAAATTACAATCATACTGACAGATGTTTTGTCCTTTTGCAATCTTAATTTGATAAGATTAGTGCATAAAAATGATTTATGCAAGTTTCATAAAACGTCTGTCTATGAGCAATGGTGAATAAAGACATGAGTTGGACAAATGTCTGAAGTCAGATAAGAGCTAAAGTAAAACAAAAATAAATAAATAAAACTTGTGACTGCCATCACCTTGTGTATCAAAGGTTTAAACAGAAATGTTGGGTTATGTTAGTGCTCAGAGTATGTGATTTCTGTTTTAGCTCAATATCTGTAGAAATAATTATACTTAACTTGTGTTAAGTTTAAATCGCTCTGATGCCATATTAAATTGGGTTGACTACATGTAGTTGTACCTCCATTTTTTACATTTATGAGAGTTCCATTAAAACCTGTTAGTGGCTCATGAGTTTCTAAGAGGAAATCACAAGGAACTGGGCAATAAACAGAGCTCAAACTGAATTATGACATATCAGAAAAGTAACAGGTCTTTGTCTGTTGTGTGAGCTGCAAGTGTAGTAGAGATTAGCGGGGTAACATATATTTTATATATATTCACAATCTCTCTGAGCCATTGTATGTTTTTTTCTCATGCTTTTGCTAACAGCTTCTCAATTTTAGGATGACAATTGAAGGGCACAGAACTCCAAAACAACCTTAAGTTTACAGCCCAGCTGTGGACAGCTCTGTAAGAAGCACTTGGACTGACCTGCGAGTGAACAAAGATGAGATAATGTTCATGTATTCAAGTATAACAGAAAACCCAACCCCAGAGTCTTCAGTAGAAGAGTATGTTGCCAAGGCTGAAAGAAGCAAGCTGACTGATGTCCAAAGTAAAACTCATATTTATTGTGTATCCTCCATTAGAGCCCTCACCACAAGGCCAACCACATGTCAACAAAGACATCTTGTGCTGTTAGCTTCCTTCAGCCTGTGAGAGGAGGTCAGAGTAATGACAGAACGGTGTGGCTGTTTCCCCACAACTCACAGGCTCACAAGGCCACAAACATCCTGCCGTTCTTTTCTGAGAAGAAAAACACCACACAGAAACAACTTTTCTACTCATTCAGTGTGGCTTTGTTTGGTTTCTTTTTCCTTTCCTGAAGTTCAAGGGGTTTATCAAAGAGACACTCTTTTAAGGAATGAATGGACCTGTGGTGGGAGATTGTGTTAGACACTAAAGGTTTGAGGTTCATACAACCTGTGAGATATTAACACATCACTGCAAGCTGTACTGAAGGCTTTGTCAGTGGTATACATAGAGGCAATATGTAGACTTTTTCCCTCTTATATTTGTAGTCTAATTGAAAAGAGAGGTAATGGCTCTTACTGGATCCACTCGCAGGCCTATTTGATGCTATCTCCTTTTGCACCGACTGAATTGTTTACTCTGCACAGATACACTGCAGAAGCAATGATAACAGAGTTAAAGTAGACATATCATGCTTTTTAAATCTTTCTTTTGCACATTTAAATCCTTCAGTTGGGGTCTATAAAGTGGAACTGCAATGATTTGGTCTGAATTCCTTATTGTAACTCCACAAGACCCTCTTTCACCCCTTTTCTGAGGTGTGCCTCAGATCAACTCGTTTTGAGGCTGTTACTTTAAATACAAATGAAGCGCTTCATACCCCGCCCCCACCAACCTCCAGAGCGGTCCATTCTAGTTTGATGGAGAGAGGAGTTTACGACTATATAGCGGCACCAAAAAATTTTATTTACAAATTATTTAAAGTAGCAATATCATGTAAAATAAACTTTTTTGAGTTTTATATCATGTTATAATGTTATACTCTCATAAAAAACATGCCCAAAGCCTTGCTGTGACTCATTCGTGTCTGTTTGAGAAATCCTGCAGTGTTTTTCAGGAAGCCATGCTGAAAAGCAAAACGACAGGTGGGGACCAGAAACGCCCCTGGGACATGTCTTTAAGCCAAACTTCCTCATGGTGGAGCAGTGGAGCACACCCCGCCCATGACTCCTGCAGGCTCTGGAAACTTAAACTGTCTGCTCTGCTCTTAACACTACTGCTCACTCAGTGAAGCTCTTTTCAGATTAAAAATACCTTTGAGGAAATGTAATTTCAGATTCCAAGTAAACTGCATCATGGCAGGCCCCCCGCACCGAAGTGGGCGAGACAGAAGCAGAAGGAGGTTCTTAAAGAGACAGAGACCAATTTCAAGGCATTTAGAAGAGGAAGTGATGAGAAGATAAGTTTATTTTCTATTTTAACATAAAAACAGCATTTTAAGAACAGCTAAAGGTGACATAAATACTTTATTATGGTGTAGTATTTAAATATATGCCTGAGAAACACATAATATTGCCCCTTTAAAAGAAGTCAACAATGTAAATCTTGTCCATCCAGCCTTACATATTGGTGCCAAAGTCTGACCCAGAGGAGAATGAAGACCACCAAACTGTATCTGGTAAGTCCAGAACTTATTTATCAGTTCTGTTGCAAATAAAACTGACATAATAGTTCAGGAAACGAAAAAGAAAACACTTTTCAAAATCCCACAAAACCTCGATGAGTCTTTTAGTGTTTATTAAATACTATAAGGGACTTTTTTTTATCAACACTGACAGTATTTTTTAAAAACAAACATTAAACTAGCCTGTACATAAAACAGACAGTTTTGTCTAAAATGTGAATGTTAACTACTGTGAAATACCCCACCCACCATGCACACTTACAGCTTCAAAGACACAGTATAATTCACAAACGTGAAATTCAGAAGGAGCAGATTTCTGTCAGGTTGTGAAAGAGCGAATCAGATCTTCTAGCCTGGCAGACTTGTGAGGCCCCTCAGGATATAATCTATTTTTGCTTTTACGTCATATCGTTAGCTCTCATCTCAGCTTCAGCATTAGGAGACGACTTTTGCTTGGGTCTGATTCAAAACAAGTCTTCACCGTCGAAGTGAAACGTCTGACTTCTAAATAAATGGGATCTTTTTTGTTTCTGATTTTTAAGATACCCTCAAGTCATTAACCCTAAAACCTCCTTTTCCTCTATTTTATGAGCGCTGGATAAAAAAAAAAGGGTTAGTAATAAAAAATATACAGTTTTCAAGATTTTGGAAGCATTGCTGCTGTCCTCCTTAAAATCCTTAATGGATTGCTGCTGATTAATTAAACTGACAGAGCCTCAAAACACAAGAACTTTACCAGGAGATCCGACTCCTTCCCAGCTCACCTTCATGCTGTCTCGGAGCACTCATCAATCAGCATCATGCTAAGGGAATCAAAATGGGCTTAGCTCATCTTTTCAGCATAATGTGAGCATCAATCAATTCGGGGCTGCCTAATGACAACGTCTGTACCTATTTGAGAAATGTTATGTGACTTAGGCTGTGATAATGGTGTGTTTTAGGCACATGGCTGCCTAAAACACACCATTATCACAGCCTCCCTCTCATTCCCTTCATGAAAAACACACATCATCTATCAAAGCCGTCTCCCCTGAGTTCAACAGGCCAATCTCACAGGAGACATAAACCAGTAACCAGGCCTGTTCACATATTCATGGAGGAACTAAAGAGCAGTTAGGTGGATGTGCTTCACAGCCTCGCTTTCATGACTTACAGCAGCAGCACCTCAGAGGCACATAAATGCTGATGAGGTTGTCTGGCTGGAATAGGAAGAATTGAGTAAGTATGTGATTGTATAATTTAAATTTCAATTCCCAGAGGCTTGAAAATTATTTTTCTGATTAGTGATGACCGAAAGACCTAAAATGCAAATTTTTTTCTCTACTTTCCATGTTCTTTATGTATTGCAGCCAACTTGCTGTTTAACTATGCAGAAGGCGTGTAGGTATAATCCAGACCAATTCAAGCAAGTACTGTATGCATGTATGGATGGAATACAGAGTTTTGTCAGAAGATTTGCCACACGTCATAAATAGGAGCACTATGATTTAACCAAAACAAAAACAGTGTAAGAAAAGGCAATAAGAACAAAATAAACATCCTGCTCAGGATTGGAGATCAGCTGGCTTCCTGAAAACGTTCTACTAATTAACATTTAATAAAATAGTGTATATTAATGTACTGTATTATAATTAGATTTAAATAACTGTTATTACATTTGAACTAAATGTGGGTGAGCTGTTATTGTTGTAGTGACCTGAGATAACCTTTGTTGTGAATTGATGCAATATAAAAAAACTGAAATGAACTGAATAACAGTGCATTAAATGATGATAAAAGAAAGGTGGACAGCAGGAAATTCAGCAAATACAATATGAAGGCCTGTTATATGAAGACTGATATTTCTCAGATTTCAGGATACAGCATGACTTGAGGGAACAAAGATATTGCACCTGGGAGCAGCACAGACTGGTATTACGCCTCAGTTATTCAAGAAAAAGAATGCAATATTTGAAAACAGTAGGAACTCTGTCCAAATCAAACAGGAATACTGGGAAAAGCAATGTGCAGTCACTGATAACAGTTTTTTTATATTTTATTGTCTCGTTTAATAAAACAGAGACATGCATAAATATTTAACTTATTTTGACTAGTTGTGACATATTAGTAACCTTTCAAAACAAAAGTGTAATTTCAAAAGCCAGCCTTAGCTTTTCTTTAGTAACTTGAAAACTACTTTTCTTGAAGGAATCTGAATTTATTGTTGCTTGAGTGTCAACGTTTTAAACTGAAAGATTGTACAATCTGTTGTATGTGCTGGGGAAGAGTCTCAGCTACCCCCACACTAAATTTTACCTCAATCTTTGTGAAAATGGCTGCAGTCCTGGCATTTATGTGTTTGCTAAGTTTAATTAACTGTGGTGGGCAATTTGAATGAGGTTCA